TACCACTGAGCCACACCCCAGCCCCTCACTGGGGGATTCTAGGCAGGGGCTCTACCACTGAGCCACATCTCAGCCCCTCACTGGGGGATTCTAGGCAGGGGCTCTACTCCTGAGTCATATCTTTAGTCTTCACTGGTGAATTCGAGGCAGATTTTGTACCTCTGAGCTAGGCTCAAGCCCAGAAATCAGTTCTTGAACTTTGGGGTTCAAAAGTACATCAATGTGCTAGTGTGACTCTAACCAGTGCCCCTGGCAGGGTGGCTCACACAGCAGAACTGTCCCTCCTCACATTTCTGAGGCTGGATGTCTAAGATTGAAGAGTAGACAGAGTCACTTTTTTCTGAGACATCTCTCCCTGGCCGTTGATGGCTGTCTTCTGTTTGCTCATGCCCTAGTGTCTCCCCGTAAGGACACCACCAGGTATGTTGGATTAGAGGCAGCTCTAATGACCTCATTTTAACTTAACTACTTAAAAAAATATCTTGTTTACAAATACAGTCACTCTCTGAGATGTTGGAGGCTAGGATTTCAACATACATCTCCTTTTAGGGGGTGGGTGACACAATTCAAAACAGAACAGAGGCGTATGCAGAAGACTCCAAATACACCCCCAACTTGGAGACGAGATTTGCAACCTACACCCCCATCTCGCTGAACTTTAACTTCCCCTGGCAGTGGGGATGTGGGGGGAGGGCAACAGAAGACAGCACAAACACCCTTAGGGTTCTGTTGGTTTTCTGTCCTTTGGAGACCGGCTCTCACTATGTAGCCCACCCTGAGACTCGCTATGCAGACCAGGCTGGCCTCAACTCACAGGACCTCTGCCTCCTGCGTGCTAGGACTAAAGGTGTGTACCGCTACATGTAGCCTCTGCTGGTTTTCTGTCCTCTGCCTTTCTTCCTCCATGTTTCTATTCCTCCTTTCTTTCTCAGCAGACACCAGGCCAGCCACTGGCTGAATATGCTGAGTTCTTAATGGAGTCAGATCTTTTTCCTGGACCACTGGCCCATGCAGATTGCCCTCTCTGGGGGCATTGGCTCTTGTTATGAGATCTGAAATACAACTTACCCCTTCTCAAGTTCATGTGATGAAGGCTTGGCCCCCAGCTGTTGGCATTATCTTGGAAGGCTCTAGAAACTTTAAGAGGTGGGGTATAGCTGGAGGAAGGATGTCACAGGGCGTGTGCTTCTCATTCTCAGTTTTCCTTCCCTCTCCTGGCTTCCTGTCTACTGAGGTGAGTAGCTGTCACCACATGCTCTTGTTACTATGATGCCTGTCTTACTATGGGGTCAATGGAGCCAAGGGCATTGGGTTGAACCTTTAGAAACCACAAGCCCACATAAATTCTTCCTCTCTTTAAGTTGGTTTCTTGGGTATTTGGTCATAGCAGTGATAAAACTAACAGAACCCTCCATCCTGTGGATTTCACCCTCTAAGATGTCAGCCCTCCAATCTAGTCTATCTTATTAACCAGGTAGGAGAAAATGCAAGATAGCAAATCACAGTGGGAGAATTTTACAACTCTAAGTCCATCTCACTGTTTTTGCTTGTTTTGAGAGGGATGGACAGAACACTGTCAGGTGTGTGAGCATTAGTTTCCAGTCAATGAGAATCTCACATTCTACCTGGTGCTCCAGGGGACTGTGCTCTTGTATTCACTAGGCTGAGAGAGCTTAGCCTAAATCTAAGTGTGAATGAGAAGGTCTAGCCAGTTCCAAGAAACAGGGATTCAGCCATGCCCGAGCATGGCGAAGCGAGACAGCTCCTCCCTTGTTCTTAATTCAACAGCATTTGCTGGCTTTTTCTTCTATGCCTGGTGCTGTGAATTAAAAACATTTATTTTTATTTTTAATTATATTTTTATTTTTTAGACTTATTTTTATTTTTTAAATTTATTCTTTGTGTCATTCATGTATTTTTAAATTTTTTTTTGTGTGTATGTGCTCTTGTACACATGCACATGAGTACCATGCCTGCAGAGGCCAGAGGAGGCATCTGATCCCCTGGAAGAGGAGTTACAGGTGGTTGTGAGCCTTTTGATGGGGTGCTAGGAACTGAACTTGGGTCCTCTTTGAGAGTAGCAAGTCCACCTTGCTAAGCCATCTCACAACCTCTCTCCTGCAGGATTGTAGTTAATCCTCACAGTTGCCCAGCAAAGAGGTGGTAACATTCTCCACTGTAGATTTTATCCAAGTAGATGTCAATTCCTTTTGTAGCTTTTATGCAACTATAAAACCAAGTCACCTTCACAAATGAAGCACACACAGAATGGTGAAATGAATACAATTTTGAACAGCAACATTCACTTAGTAGTGAAGAAGACATGAAATACCATTTTAGAACTGACCTCATTCCCAAGGTTCTTTCCAGAAGGTGAAATTGCTCTTTTACAGGTGGGGTAGGGGCAAGATTGCCTAACACTTCCACTACATTTTGTTTCTTGGAACCATATGTGGTGACAGAATACCTTCTTCCATTACCTCCTATTATGCTTTGGGCACAGAATTTCCCCCTCCCCCACAAAAGGCTCATGCATTGAAGGCATGGTCCCCAGATAGTGGAGCCATTCCTTGAGAGCTGGCTGGATTATAAGGTCTCTAACAACACTGTTAGAACTGTCACATCAGGACATTATTGGGAGGTGGTAGGAACTAAAGTTGGAGCCTGGTTGGATGAAGGATGTCACTGGGGCTGTGCATGTGAAGGATCTCAATCTCTCTCTCTCTCTCTCTCTCTCTCTCTCTCTCTCTCTCTCTCTCTCTCTCTCTCTCTCTCTCTCTCTCTCTCTCTCTCTTCTATATCCTGGGCAAATCTCTGGGGGGATGTTGCCTCACTCCTCACACCGAGGTGGGGGAAACTTCCATGGACCAAGCTCTATGGTTCCATCTGTTTTCCCTCAGCCTCTGTGCATCACTTGAATATTGATTCCATCCACTCCAGTTTTGAACATTATGAGTGAGTCTGTCATTCCCACAATGGAAAGCACAAACTTGACAAAAAAAATCATATACCAGCTGCATTCTCAAGAGGTCCAGAATTTGTTTGTATTTATTCATTTTTACATGGATTTTGTGTGTGTGTGTGTGTGTGTGTGTGTGTGTGTGTGTGTGTGTGTGTGTGTGTGGTGTCTGGAGGCCAGAAGAGTGTGCTGGATTCCTTGGACTTGGAGTTCCAAGTTGCCATGAGATATCCTACATGGGTGCTGGAAACTGAGCTCTGGTCTCCTAGAAAAGCATCAGCCACACTCAACCACTGAGTCTTCTTTCTAGCCTTTTAAATATATATATTTAACATTAAATGACATTAAATACTCTAAAATTATTAAATATCTATGACATTAAATTACTCTAAAATTATCCAGAGGACACCCCTGAGATCTGGGACAGGGCTGTGTGGGTACAAGAACCCTGGACATGCTCAGGAACCCTCAGACCCCAGTTTTCCCTAGGCTCTTCTTTTATTAAGATGGTGGAGCAGAATTCCTCAGTCAAATGATATCAGAGACTCATGTTTCTGGTCCGGTGGAAAGGACTCTGGAACTCACTTGGTATTTGTCCTTGGAAGTCACTTTGGTGGACCCATGGGCAGGAATGAGCAGTATTGGTCTCCCTCAGGACTTAGGTATGGATGACGTCTGTAAGTTCACAATGCTCTATGGATAAAGGAGGACTTGAATAGTCACAATGAGGCTTCATAGGTGGTTGATGTCCAAAGCCCAGTAATCGAGGGTGGAGATCTTGTCTTTACAGTGGGAACTGGCCACCCTGGAGTTCCACTTCTCCAACTGTAGGTAAAATAGACCCAGGTCCTAGACTGAGAGTCTAGATGGCTACCTGTGACCCTTACAGCTTCCTTCTCCTACCTCTTTCTAGAACCTTGGTGAGTTCTGGCTATAACCTGCAAGAGCAGACCACCTCATTAACACCCTGGGCTCTGAGGCTCTGTGCATGTGTACATGTGCAGGTGTTTTTCATATGAGCACACAGCAGGTTTGGGACCCTGGGGAAGGTTGAAAAGGCCTGGAGAGATGGCTCAGTGGAGTGCGTACTGCTTTTGCAGAGGACCTGAGTTCATTTTGGAGCAGTTGTGTTGGGTAGCTCACAATTGCCTGTAATTCCAGCTCTAGGAGATCTGATGCCCTCTTCTGGCCTCCATGAGCAACTGCACTCATGTGTACATATCCACATGCAGATACACATACATTCACATAATTAAAATAATAAAAATAAATCTCAAAAATAGAAGGTTGAAATGACAGAGGAGTGGAAGGAACCAAGGACATGTGCTCATGTCAGCCATGACTGGGGAAGTACTAAAGAACTACCTTACCATAGGGATCACAATGTTATCCTCCATTCTATCCCCTCCTTGCAGGAAGTCTCTGCTTCAACCATGGATAGGCACACTTACTTTTTTTCTTGGAACCCAGATGTCATCTGCCCTTCCATCTAGCGAGAGCTATAGCATAGGCTCTCCAGATCCCCATGAACTCTCTTAGGGGTGTGTGCTAGCACAGTTCAGAACAGTTTCTGCCCCTGGAGGTAACAGCAGTTCACAAGGTCACTTGGAGATACCACAGTGATGTAACCAGTTCACTGTCACTACAGCTCGTTAATTAACCACGCTCCTGCTGCCTGCGTTGGGAATGGATGTGGTAAAACTGAATGACCATTTGAATTTAAACCACTCCAGTACGGGTTCTAATGCACAGAATTATTATCTGAGACTGACCAATGGGGGAGCTCTGTCCATCATTTCAGATGGATAAGCGACTACGTCTATTTTGATTATTTTCAATCATGGCGTCATAGGGCACCAGCGTGGTGCCATTTTCTAAAATATCCAGCATTTTTATACATTAGGTACAGACATGGCAAATACTTGATGTAAAATCCGCAGTTTTACTCCATAACCAGATTGTAAAATATGAACTGAATTAATCATAACTGCAAAGACTAATGGTTGCTTTTCTCTTATTTTATCTTTAGTGCCTTTGTAGATCATGTTTTAAAACCTTCCACGTCTGGCGTTGGGAACGCGGTAGCGGCTTGGTGCTGGATAGCAGGAGGCAAAGGTCAGACCCGAGGCTGCACAAATATTGTGTGCTGGATTTATTGTTTTAATTAAGAGCATGGCAGTTCATCATAAAGTGTTTATGGCGTTTCTGCTCAGCGCAGCATTTTGAAATCAGCTGTTTTAATGAAAACATAATGTCACATACGTCAAAGTTCTAAATATTTTGAAAGTGAAATATAGAAACAAGAACTTTAATTCTGGGTTTACTGAGATTAGCTCATGGAATTGCTTTTAAATCCCTGAAGAGGGTCACATCATGGCTACCGCATGGCTTCATGAAGGTGACTAGGGAAAAAAAAAGAATTCTAGGTGGTTCTCAGAGCTGGGTTATTTAATAGTGAAAATACAAGTTGAAGGTTAATGTATCGAAAAGCAAAACCATTATGGTTGGAGTTGGGATTTTAGATTAAAGAGGCAATAATGAGCGTGCAGGGGCCTCAGTCTGTGGAGAGGCCCTAATTGTGCCAAGGGGGAGCCGAGAGCCTCTGAGGGCGGGAGAGAAATGGATCCACCCTTGTCCCTTTCCAGTCACGAAGCCTCCACATCACCGTGTTTACAGCTAATTATTTATAATGACCTCAAAGATGCTGGGGTTTCTCGGCGTTTCCAAGCCGAGCAGTCTTTAACACTTGTCATTCTTTCTTGTGGTGACCGGGCATCTGTGTAGATGTGCCAGACATCCTTGGTTACATTTGTTAGGGAGTCAGATAAAATATTTGTCTAATCTGGAAATTGTATTTTTAGCTGTACTCTCATTGGAAACAGAAATTAAGCCTGCCGTTAGATGCTAGGCCACAGCAGTTGACTGAGCAGAGTAATGTATGTGCTAGTCAGTGCAATACTTGGTCAAGTTTCATATAGATCGTATTCCACATTATTTTATTAACTTTAATATCTGCACTTCCTATTACCAGACATGCCCCTCATTCAAAGCACAGAGGCACAGCCCTCTAATCAGAAGTGACAGGCTATATACTTTCTCTCAGCCATTACTTGGTAGCCTAGAGCAAAGAACTATGTTTCTTTGAAAATGTTTTGAATTGGGTTATTTTTATTGAAGTATTAAAGTAATTCTTCAGATTTTAGGCTATTATTTAAGTACTTTTGGGAGAATACAATAACCCCCGGATTGCACAGGCTTTGTTACTTGAACAATCGGAGTGGCTAAATGCATCTTTTTAATGCTGGTTATATAAGCTTTGCAGAACTCATCTGACCAGGCGAAGTTAAGAGTGTTCAGGTAATTATAGAAAATTAGCAGGCTAAATTAGTTTAGGAAAGCACAAAAGTATAATATTAAAAATGCTCACAACCTATAGGCCCTGCTAGCTGGCGTTTCAGTGAAAAATGGGCATTTCTTATTATTTTATCTTTGTGTTTTGTAATTCGATTGAAACAGCCAATAGCATGGTTAAAAAGGCTTTCCTGGGCGTGGGGCATTGTCATTGAGAGTGAAGTGAGGGTCCCAGGAATAATGTGACTCCAGCCACCACACACATCTGCCACAGTGCTGAAGGAGGTTGCCACAGCCAAGGCCAAACTTGAACTTGGCAATTCCGGAGAATCTACAGTTGAATGACTGTATGGTGGGGTGTTCGTGAGGTCTCAACTTAAGCCCCAAAGAGGTTCTCATGGTCTCATTTCTGAGGGTAGCTCCATTTCATTAACACATCCTGCATAACTTCCCAAGTCACACACATGGTCTGGTTCTGTCACACTTCAGGTGTCTGGAGAGGTTCCAGGTGTCACCCGGAGCTTAAGAGATTGAGACTCCAAGGACATGCCCAGTATTTACCAATCCACCATCCTTGGCATGGCTATTTATTTATTTATTTATTTATTTATTTATTTATTAAAGATTTACTTATTTTATTTTCTGTGTATTAGTGTCTTGCCTGCATGTATGTCTGTGCACCATGTGCATTCGGTGCCCTGCAGAGGCCAGAAGATGGCGTCAGATCCCCTAGAACTAGAGTTACAGGTGGTTGTGAGACACCATGTGGGTGCAAGGAACTGAACTCAGGTCCTCTGCAAGAGCAGTGCAGTGCTCTTGATACCCAAGCCACCTCTCCTGACCTCCTAGACATGGCATCTTATGCAATCCTTCCCATATTGCCCTTCTTGCAGCCAGGAGAGGCCCAAAGCTGATGTTGTTTGGTCAAGGCTAAGGATGCTGATGGTAAAAGTTGAGATTAGAACTCAAGTTCAAACCCCAGGTTCTGCCATTCTATGCCAGCTCCAAGTAAAGCTCCCGAGGGTTCTGTCTTTCATCACTTCACAGTGTGCTTTTGTTGTGTGATCCAGAGATGCTGTATTTCCAAGCAGCATTTGGGAAGATTAGCTTGTAATTAGTGGCTAACCAAAAATTAACAACAGGACAGCAGCAGCAACAATACTACACCATCGGAACCAAGTGTGGGCCTCTTACAGTCATTGTAATGCATCTTAACTTTTTCTTCTTTTGAGAGAGTGTTTCACTATGCATCATCAGGTGTTCTAGGGCACAGTCGGAATTTATTGAAAAATTACTATCCGGCAGACTAGGTATAAGCTACCACATATAAAATAGGAAGGCACTTGGGAATGGATGAGATACCAACCGATGATTCCTCTGTGTGTTAAAGCTCTAGTCTTTGACCCATGCCCATCCCTGTCCTGGCATGCTGAAATGTTGGTCAGATAGTTATTGCTATTTCTACCAATCTGCATGTGTGCACTGACCATGCACATGTATAAATCTCTAGTCTTCCATCTCTGCATTTGCCCATTAGACAGGCGTTGTCACATCCTCTGTCACGGACCTCAAAGAAGCCAGTCAATCGAGGCGTGGTGGCACATGCCTGTAATACAGGTTCTTGGGTGGTGAAGGTAGGAGTACAGGGAATTTGAGACTAGCTTGGGCTACAGAACAAGAGCCGTCTTAAGAACAAAACGAACGAACGAACGAACGAACGAACGAACGAACGAACGAACGAACGAACGAACGAACGAACGAACGAACGAACAAGGGCTGGGCACAGGTAGATTGGCGAAAGCATGCTTCCTGAGCATGCACAAGGTTATGGGGGTTGTCTTCCTTTCCAGTCAGGCGACATGGTTACTGACTGGGAAGTAATCTGTCCCTTGTGACAGAGAAAGAGTTGTTCACCAAGGATGCCTTCCTGTTCTCCTAAATTTCTTGGTTCCCATGTAGATGGGATGAGTGTCTTCTGGTGAAGGGGCTGCTTTAAGGGAAAGCATGGGAGGGCTGGTGGGTAGCAGGACATGGGCAGCTCTCTCCTCCTTTCTTCTATCCAGCCGGTCACCTTGTAGCAAGGTGCAGGAGCTCCAAGATAAATACAGCTTGATCATTAGAACACAGAAATACAGGATGGAATTCTACCCTTGTGAGTTTCATAGATTCTGCACGTTTCTTGAGAGTAAGAAATCACCACTTGATGCGTCTAAACAACCAAGACTTAGGGGCTGTTTGTTACAGCGGCATAAGCCTGATCTCTCCTCACTTACATACATGTCTAGGCCCCTCATTTGGTGACTCTTGCCCCCTCCCCAGGGTTCAGAAATGGCAACTCCATCCCTCCTCTTTCACCCTTCCCAGCTCCCCATCCCCTCCAGTTTAGCTCTGTGATGACTGAGTCTCAGTGAAGCCATTTGTGATCTTTGTATTAGTGTTGCAGTGTAAAAATGAATTGCATTGTTTCTGTAGATGTCACTACTGGCTCCTTCTTGTTGAAATAGACTGTAACAAGTGGTTGGAGTCTCCACTGGAGGGTAATTTATATTTATTTGAGCTGCCACCAACTCCTTATTTAGTTTGCATAAACTACCCAGGACAGGAGAGGAATCTCCCTGGACCCTGTTTATCTTGTAAAAGTGGAGTTTGCTGGGGAGGGCGGATCACTCCTCACATGGACTCCCCTCCATCCCTTTTAGCGATGAATAATCAGTCATCAGGAGAGGGGATTAAAAAATAGATTTATTGCTATTTCTAAAAGTCAGAACTAGAGATGAGTAAACACAACAACAGATGTATAAGAATGTAAGTAGGAACACTATTTTACAATAACATGTACCGAAACACATTTATGTACCGAGAACTATGAAAAATAGCTCTCTTTAAATGATTTAACATTTGCTCTCTTTTATATACAGTTGAGTTTCCAGTGGGAGAACAAAGATGCTCATAGCTCTCTGGGCTCCTTTGAAATCCCTCTCTTCAAACCTTCTAGAATGTTCCACAAAGCATTTTGAGGTTTGGGAAGAAACAGGGACTGTTTTCAGTTGTGCATATATACCTTCCCATCTTCCCCCACAAGAGGGATCATTATTTTGGGGCTCAAGGAAGCCCAAGCCAGAGAAGGCAGGGAAGGCATGTGGGGAGCCATGTGTGGCCATGATGCCATTTTCTGGAGGAAGAGGAAGCTGGCCTTTTATGGGGAGATCTGCGTTCTGCTTCTGGGGGTGTACATCCAGGTTTGCTCTTTGTTGCTGTGATCAACACCATGACCCAAAGCAACTTGGAGAGGAAAGGGTTAATTTTAGCTTATAGGTCACATTCTGTCATGAAGGAAGGTTGGGGCAGGGACCTGGAGGAGGCAGAACTGAACTGGCTTGCTCCCCATGGCAGCTGCAGGTTTTTTTTTTTTTTTTTTTTTTTAAACAACTATGTGCTCTGGGATGGCACTGCTCATGGAAGGCTGGGCCCTCCCACATCAATCATTAATTAAGAAAACGCCTTGCAGACATGTCACACACTAGTCTTATCCAGGCAGTTCTTCAGTTGAGGTCCCTTCTCCCCAAGTATGTCAAGTTGATAGCCAAGATTAGCTATCCCAGGAATGCTACTCCTGAAGGCTCTACATCACTCCTTTTTGTGGGAACAGGGCCGCAAGACATTGTTTAGAGGAAGTCTGGGCCCACTGGTCCTGTCCCTTGCAAAGGACTCACCAGGCAGCCTGTGACTGGTGTATTGATGATGGGGGAATGGAATCTCTTGAAAGGCCCCCGATCCACCATCACATCCGGACAGACTTTCTAGTAAGTGGGTAGGGGGTTTGGTCAATGTCTGAAAAAGAATGGATTCACCAGAAAGTTTTACCTTGGAAGTTTATTTTGTGCTTTAAAGATTTAAAAATGATATTTATTTATCTGTATTTGTGTGTGCATGTGTGAGGGCTTGTGTGTGCCAGAGTGAGTGGTCTGAGGGCAACTTGCAGGAGTCAGGTCTCTCCTTCCACCATGTGGGTCTCAGGGATGGAACTCAGCTCACCAGGCCTGACAGTGAGCTCCTTGATTCACTGAGGCCTCTCACCTGCCCAAGGGAACTCGTCTGCTGAATCTCTAGTTAAGAGGTTTAAAAATGAAAAACAAAGTGAAGTTCTCTCTCTCTCTCTCTCTCTCTCTCTCTCTCTCTCTCTCTCTCTCTCTCTGTCGGGGGAATGAGGTCATGGGACAACTTGAAGAGTCAATTCTCACCTTCAACAGAGTGGGCCATGGGATGGAACTCGGGTGGCCAGACTTGGCAGCAAGCATCCTTCACCATGGCGCCACCTTGAGCTCCTCTCACCCCTTGGTTTTTGGCCTGGAACTTACCGTGGAGCCTATGCTAGCCTGGAACTTGCCAATGAAGCCCAGGTTGGCTTTGAATTTGCTCTGCCACCCAGCCTGTCCTTGAACAATTTATGTAGCCCAGGCTGTCCTTGAACACTTTATGTAGCCCAGGCTCTCCTTGAACATTTTTTGTAACCCAGGCTGGCCTTGAACTCTTTATGTAGCCCAGACTGGCCTGGGACTCACTCTCCTTCCTCCTCAGCCTCCTACATTCTGGGATTATAGAAGTGTGACACCATGCCTGGCTTGTTTTGAGGACCTTAAAGACCAGGGCAACCTGAAGCTGGCATGGTGGCCCAGAGTTTGTGACTGTCCTGTCTGGCCCATACTCCAGGAGTGAGCATCTTTTCTGGAGGCCTCTTTCCTAGTGGTGTTACAGTGTACCTGGTGATTTTATGGGGAGCAAGAATGGAGGGCAGCATTGAGAGTCCAGACACCTTGGAAGCAAACGAATCTCTCCTTGCATCCTCTCTGGGGCAGGGCTTAGATCCAGGAGATCTGATTTTCATAAGCCTTTTCTACCCTCATGCAATCGGCCAGTTAGTTTCTCCTCAGTATTTGAATTATCTATGGTCAAATAATTCCCATAAAAAAAAAATAAGAATGAGCCGGGCAGTGGTGGCGCATGCCTTTAATCCCAGCACTTGGGAGGCAGAGCCAGGCGGATCTCTGTGAGTAGCCAGCCTGGGCTACCAAGTGAGTTCCAGGAAAGGCACAAAGCTACACAGAGAAACCCTGTCTTGAAAAACCAAACACCAAAAAAAAAAAAAAAAAAAAAAAAAAAAATGAAGGTGGGAGAGGAGGCTTGGAGGATAAGTCTGTGTTGCTCCTTTTCCAGAGGGCTGGAGTTCGAGTCCCAGCACCCACGTCAGGCAGTTCACAACCACCTACAACTCCAGCCCCAGGGAAGTGAGTCTAACACCTCTGGCCTCCATGGGCACGTGAACTCACATGCACACACCCACATGGACACACATGTATGCACAGAGTTAGAAATAATAAAAGCAAAATCTTAAAAAATTAAGAATGGAGTCTTCACTTGGGAAGGGTGTGTGTGTGTGTGTGTGTGTGTGTGTGTGTGTGTGTTCAATCCTGGTTCTGTGAACACCTGATAACAAACACTCACACACACACACACACACACACACACACACACACACACACACACACACACGAGCGATGCCTGATTTGGAAATCTGTGACCAAAAACTAGGACCTCATAAGTGTACACTCAGCTTCCCATTTGTTGAGTGCCTCATTTCAACACCGAGGAAATGACTCTGGTTTTCCCTTTTCCGCATTGGTATCAAGGAGCCTCCTTACTAATTCAATATTAAGGACCGCATAATTAGCCACCTTAATAAATTTTTCCAAGATGGATAGCAGCAACATTTGGCTCTCTTTAGAAAGCCAAACACTCCCCTAATGGTATTCCGTGGGAAGCAACGGAGAGAACAAGGAACAGAAATATCTGGAAATATATTAAGATATATGTGCATATATCGGACATTAGCAACATACCCTGAGCATACTGGGAATATGCTTCAAAATATTTCAAACATTGTTGACCTTTGTTATATAATCCCGGGCTCGGGAAACCCATTTGCATAGACTTAGCAATATATTGTAAATAACCACACAGGACAGTGTGTATTTTTCCTTAAGATGCAGTGTTATAAGCAAGACATTAAATTATGCCTATCACACAAAGCAACAAGATCTCTCCATTTTTTTATAGCTCGTTCTATGGGGAAGACACCCTTCTGAAAAGCACATGCGTTAACTGCCTGACTCATGTGGTGACACGTGGCATACCCAAATGCGTTATGGATCTCTCAGGAATAAAAACAACACGGCGAAACCATCACCTAGGGATGTTCATTGACTGAATATTTTACAGACACACTCCCTTTATATTTATATAATAATTTAGTGTTATGACAATTTTTTTAGCAGACTTGGCAGTTTTTCTTTTTTATAATGGTATTATATTTGTGAGCCTATTAAGAGCATATGGGATAAACTACAGAAACCAAGTATTTTTCATAATTCCTTAGGGTGCTTGTAGCAAAGTAAATAAATAAATAAATCACCCACCCAGTTCAGCGACAAAACACACCCTACCAACACATACTGGTTTCGAAAAATGTTAATAAAAGGTCATCCAGACTTTTCCAACGCTTAGTGTCACAGCAGTGGCAATTTGGAGACTCGTTTGAATTCTGTAGTGAGGGGATATGGCAGGCAAATAGATGTCCCTTCAGAAAGGGAGAGACCAGCCCTGTGGTGGGGCTGGTGGGTTTTAAACAAAGGATTTAACCGGGTCTTGTTTCTTTGTGCCCACTCTGTTCCTCAGCAGTCAGCCCAGTGGGTCCAGCCGTGCTGAGCCTGTGGGCACTGGGCACAGCGCATGGGCACCTCAAAGTGCCATCTTCTGGGATCCAGGGGGCAACACTTGGGAGGCTCTGTCTCCTTTTTTCTCTTCTGACCAGAAGCAGAGGGAATGGGCAGGGGCATGCAGTGGGCGGGG